GAGCTGATGCATAAACCGCTAAGTGCTTGTTCAAAAATTAATAACTTGCACTTATTATTTGAGTATACAAGGTTAAAAAAAAACCTATTGTTGTGGTTAATTGGAAAAAAAAAATGTAGGGGAAAGAAACAACTTGTAAAAAGTGCCTTGTGTTTGCAATACTATATATATAAACTAGCAATTCTAATGTTAAATTCTTTTTAGTTAATTTAGTAAAATTCATATAGTTTCCTATGTAATTTTAAGCAAAACTTGATGATACAATATGGTAATTCAGAAACCTTTCAGGTGTTTCCTTAATTGTTTTCCTTCTCCATTCAAAATGTTGCAAACAAAACGTTTTTTTTCTTCCAATCATCTAACAAATGCCAGTTTCTTTTTGACATCATTTTCCAGGAAATTACATCATATTATAATGAGGTGCCTTCTTAACTAGAACATATTCTTTTAAGTCCTCATTTAAATATCTTCCTTAAATGACAAATTACAGCGTTCAAAAGGTACTACATAACAGGAATGACCCTGGTGTTTATCTGCATAAAATAAATAAAATGATGTAATCTAGAAAGAGTGATATCACATCCAGCCTCACATTTTTGGCCAGAATTAATATAATGTGACATGCTGGAAGTGCAAATAATGGATCTTTTTGACTATTAACGGTGTATTCCAATAGAGGGCACTAGTGAAACCACACATGGTTACTTGCCTTTCAAAAGGTAACTATAACCCATTCACTGTGGATTCTTGCTGCAGCATCACAGTCTCTGTTATGAAATGATAACCACCATACGTTTATAATTGCAGCTATTTCTGTGGTGCTGGAGGGATATAAATGCTCCTAAGCCTTTTTCCATGTGTGGTCCGGGACAGCAGAGTTCGACTGCAAGTCATAATACGGTTCAGTGCTGTCAGAATTTGCCACAGTTGCTTTTTTCCTCTCCTTCTCCGCATTCTCTCCTTCCTCCACAGCAACCGAAACAAGAAGAGGGGATTTTCTGTGAAAGAAGGGAGATGTAATGAGTGACGACAGAGGGTGTGTTCCATTCAGAAATAAACGTGTATATGGCTTCACTCTCCACAGAAAGAGACAAAAGGGTGAATGGGTCAAAAACAACATTAAGAATGTACTTTTATTTCATTTTTCACTTTTGTTATCCAAGCCTGCCACTGATACAATCACACCTTCAGTTGCAGCGAATTTAAAATCTTTACACATCATTATTGCATCTCTAATAATCACTTTTAGAGTGCAAAACAAACAAAACACACACACACACATATATATATAGAATTAATTCGTTTATCTGAAAAAAAAGTCAATTCCTTAATGACATCACTCTTACTAGGAAAGCGCAATGGAATAAGCATCGGGTTTTATTTATTTATTTCTTGTAAATAATTTTTATTTATTTATTTTTATTATGTTTAATTCACATTACATTTGGTGAAATTTATGATTGGTCGGGAATGAGAGATTCTGATGAAAAGCAACAATTTCTGGGAGAAAACAGTCCATTAATTGAGCACTACAAAGTCAAAACTGCCTTTTAAAGTAGTTATTTATGATCACTTCTGACCCGACTACATGACTATCATGATTAGTCTCTCTTCGAAGTCCTTGAGTGTGTGTGTGTGTGTGTGTACCTGTCTCCACTCTGAGTGATTAATCGTCTGCAGGTCTCCATCTGAACATCCAGGCCTCTTTTCATGCTGCACATCTCCATATACTCATGCAAATGCCTGTTCATATCCGACTTAGCAGTTGTCAACTCCAACTACATACAAACACAACACAAACTTTAAAAGATCACGCAATATTGCCAAAACATCTCTCAATGTTGTTGGTCTTGCTTGATAAAAAAAAACTATTATGTGTTTGGTAGAGTAAAAAAAACATCATGTAGGTGTTTTGGCACAAGCAAAAACTCTTTACCTCAATTTGGTCAATGGTGTCTTGATATTCCTTTTCACGGGACTTGAAAAGGGACTCCGTGTCATTTATCACTTTCTCTATGGACTCCTCCTGCTGTGTGAGACAACAGAAAAACTGTTAAGTTTGAGATGTCTTGTAGCTCTTTCTCTACATAATGGAAATATTGTGCAGAGAGTGAGAGACATTCAGATGAAATATATCAATTCAGTTCAATTTTTTTCTCCTTCATTTGCCTTTTATAGCAAAACTGATGAGACAACAAAAAACACCTAACTGTAATAGGTGTAGCATGAGCGCTTTCATATTATGCTTGTGTGACGGGCATTTTTTTTCTGTGTCGGCTCAAAAAATTTGGATAAGAAAACAAATAATAGTATAAAAATAAAGCAAATCAAATAATAAAAAAAATGAGATGGAATAATGTATAAATCACAACCTTTTTTTTAAAAGTAGCAGCGACACCAGAAGATAAAGTCGGCTTTTTACTACAATACTGTAGTTATTTTTCTTAAAGCAACCTGATGAGATTTGATGACTTGGTTTAATAAATAAATGCAATGTGAATGTAAACTTCAATTTGATATCGGATGTTTAAATGACTGTATGTTTAGCGATATAAATGCATGTTTGTTTTTTTCAGGTTTAACTGGATCCATTTTATACATAAATTCATCATGCCAATTTAATTTCCAAAGTCCATCACTGCAGCTGAAATCAATAAAAGACAAACGTACTTCTCCTTGGTTCTCAACACTGAAGGTGTATCCTGGAAAATCTTCCCAGAGTAACAGAGTTTCCTCAGTCTCTTCCCACGCAAGACTGTCACAGTCATCCTCAAACTCACACTCGCGCCTGTGGCATAAGAACAAACAGTCATTATCGTAAATGATTAGAAACAGTCTGTATTAAAATCCAATTAAGTGTGTGACCTTCAAAATAACAACACAAACCAGAATGCATCAACACTATCATTTAAATAGACCATTTCTTTTCATTAGAAGTACTATTCATTTAGTCGCTGCGCATATCATCTTGCTAATTGAGAAGTAATTTATTATGCTTGAGTAAAACTGTTTATCAGCGCTCATTATTCCACAGCATTCTCTGACATTTCAGACGTTCAATGGCGCTACTTACAATTGGTTGAGCATTCTCTGCATCTCCTCATTGATCTGATTGGTTGATGAGCAACAAAGCTCCACCTCCTTATTCCCACTCTCCTCACTTTCAGAGATGCTTGCTGGTTCATCGCTCTCGTTCCCCCTGACTGTCTGTGCTGCTGGTTTTCGAGGACGGTGGGTCAAGGTTGACGGAGGTGTGGCTACTTGCTAGAAAACGGTAATAATATGAATAAAAATTAAAAACACAATATATGGTCTTCAGCGTCACATGATCATTCTGATATGCTGATTTATTTGAAGTCAAGCTCTTTTGTAACGCTATGAATGTCTTTACTGTCACTGATTATACTGATTGATTAATTAAAAATAATACTCTTATTGATGCAAACCTTTTGATCCAAACGGTAAGTATTGAATATGAAATAAATTACATATGTGACCCTGGACCACAAAACCAGTCATAAGTAGCACATGTATACTTGTAGCAATAGCCAACAATAAATTGTATGTTCATTATGCCAAACATCATTGGGATATTAAGTAAAGAACATGTTCCATGAAGATATTTTGTAAATTTTCTACCGTAAATATATCAAAACGTAATTTCAATTTCAAAATCAATATTTTGATTTTTTTGCACTGTCAGATTCCAGTTATAACTCAGCCAAATATTGTCCTATCCTAACAAACCATACATCAATGTAAAGCTTATTTATTACTGTATAAATCTCATTTTCAAAAATCGGACCCTTATGACTGGTTTTGTGGTCCAGGGTCACATATAAAAATTTTATAAAATATGAAAAAAAATTTTTACCTTAAAAGTCTTTGAGAAAGGCAGGAAGTTATGAATTGTAAACAAACATACAGAAACTAAGGCATAACTAATCTCCTAATATATTTCATGTAACTGCAAATGCAAACACTGATGATGAAAGACAAACCTGGAAGATCTGAATCATGTCTTCGCAGTTTCTCTGCTGGGCTACATCACACAGACGAGCCGTGATGTCAATCCTGCGACAGATGTCCATGTCCACTTTCATGGCCTTCTCCTGAATCTTACTGTCCAAATCAGAGTGATTCTACAGGAGAGAGGATGTGAAAGAGAGTGGAAAGAAAGAACGAGAAAAACTGAAACAGAGGATCGATTACTCTGCTAAGTCATTTGTGGGACATCATTTGACTGGAATAAAAAATATTGGCTAAATGAGGTATTTTTCAGGTCAGGTCACATGAATGTTGTCATTAACTCACATTGCTCATGAGGCCTTTAAACAGAACCAGCTCTGCTTTAAGCTGCTTAACTCTCAGAGCAAGTTCATCCTGACACACCTCGCTCTCCTGCAGGTCCTGAAACACACACACACACACACACACACACACGTCATCAGATGCAGTGTAGACAGTGGAAAAGGTCTTAAATTAATTTGAGTCTTATTTTAATTAATTTAAATACCTCTTCAAGCTCTGCAACGTTTTCCTGTAGATCCACCCGCATTGTGTATTCCTCTTCCCATCTAGAATAAATAATAAAACCAGAATTTCAATTTGTTCACCATTTCAGTGTTTCTCTATTGTATTCCTTGGCGTTGATCATTCACGAGACTATTAAAAACACAGACTGTAATGAATTGTACTATGACTTATTATTATAATATCATCAAATAAAATCATCAAAAAATATATAATACGTTGTTTATTTATTTATTTTTATAAAAAAAATATTTTAAAGGGGAAATGAGTAATTTCTGTGCCACTGGCATAACAAACAGAATTGACCTTAATGAGGGTAAATGCCATATTTATTTTAATGTCCATTCAATGGGCTGTACTGTTGAAAACTTTGCCTTTGATCATTCAAGAAATATTAAAAAAACTGATTGTAATGCTTCCTACAATGGCTTACATACACTTTTATATTTTATAAAATTAAATGTACTACATGTACTTTACAAATAAATGTAATTTTATTAATTTATATACTAATAAATATATATATATATATATATACTGTACTCTTGTACACAGTCCTACAATAGTTGGATATACTTTGCATAAAAACCTGTAAATATATCATTTTAGGAATAAAATATGTATTTTGTAAAAAAAAAAAAAAAAAGTAGCAAAATATTCACTCATAACTGAGTCTGTACAGCTTGATGAAACTCGACACTTCCACACGTCATAAAAAAGCAACCACCAGCTAAGAGTGAGTGAATCTCAGTTAAAAATAGAGTCTGTCATGTAACATGATCTAACACTTTGGGCTGCTAGTACTCTACTCATGTAGTAAATCATCTTTTTTTTTTTGTGCTGAAAGCATTATGTAATGTGTCACTAGACTGTACGCATAGGGGACGCACACTACAGCCTGAGACAGGAAGTGCAGGACTGTTCACATTCACGCTCCTTCCATTTTAGGCCATTACTGCAGTATCACTGCAGGTGTTAGAGCGGGTGATTTATGTTAGTGTAACACTCAGATAACATCCACATAACCTTCTTCTTAACACACCAGTGAATATACAGACAGCTGGATCAGCGATTCCACAGACCAGGTGCCATTACATCACATATACAACTAAAACAAAGACAAAATATAACAGAGAAAACATACAACCAAGGGCTTTTTTTCAGAAATAAACCTGACTGTTGACATAAAAAGTGCTATTTTGGCTGGGATTCAGTGGCTTTGGCAGCTGGTAGTAGTCTGGGGAGTCTGAACGGGAAGGTAAGAGAGAGATTGTGGAATTATTCTCTATTGGCATCCTGGCAGTAGCAGCACTCAGTTCAGTACTGCATTGCAGATGCTGAGGTGCAGAGGGGAGGCGGCTGAAGTTGGAATGAAATAGATGGAGAGATGAAGAGAGAAATTCATTGGGAGGAGGGGTTATACAGGGTATTAACATAACTTTGTGTTATTTTACTCATTAGTCATGTATTCTTCTAAAACCATGCAGAAAAGTATAATTTAATGCTAATAATACTTATTCATATGTGATCATATCAATGCATTAAATGAATACCTATTAAATAACATGATATATTTAGCATAAAGAATCATTTAAAAAAACTTCTACGTAAAAAAAGAGAATTAGGTAGTATTCCAATACAAGCTTACAAGCTTACAGCCTCAAAAATGAAACAACTGTCTAGCTTTAACTGCTGAATGCAATGAAAACCACTACTATATTCAGCATTTTACTATATTAAAAATGTTTGTCAATTAAGTAATAGGGGCCTAGGGCAAAAATGCCACTGAAAATAACAAAATTATGTATTATAACACTTTTCATGTATTTGCATTAAGTGCATCTACTGTATCAGATTTTTATGAGGGCCACAGGCTTGAATAAGCAAGGCCCTGTTAGAGCAATCGCAAGAATATTCAGTGATACACTATTATTAACCTGTAATCTCACCTCACAGAAGGAAAACCTGAGATTTTTGTTAAAGCTAAAACTAAACTGCTAAAACAAAAGTGTTAATGTCAGGATTCACTGGTCTTTATTAACAGACTTTAATATAATGTTTGGTTGATACTATTTTGTTATGGTAATGACATGATGGTAATGAGGTTTTTCAGTTTTTAGAAAGAAAAAAGAAAACTGGATAAACCCTGAACTTATACAATATGTTAGCTAATAGTCAGTTAAATGGATTGATTGTGAATTCAGTTTCTCTAAACATGTGTTTTAATGACACCTAACGAAGGTACTATAAAATAATTTTAAATTGTTTTGAAAATGTTAACAAGCCATAAATAAATAAATACATAAATATGCTGTGTTCTCGTAATTAAAGAATCATCAATCATCCATGTATAGATAGGTGGAGAGACAGACAGACAACGATAGATAGATAGATAGATAGATAGATAGATAGACAGATCCGCTAGAATGTGTATGTTCTGTATGTTCCATTTCTCTTGAGCTCAGATATAACCTCCTGCACACAAAACACCTGTCATTTTCTGTGTTATTATCTTTGGGTCATGATCAGACAATTACAGTGAGGCTTTATAAATTCTATATTGATGAGATTGTATGCTCTCTCTGATTTCGTTAAGCATGCTATTATTTGTTTACTGGCATGCTTACTGATGTAGAATAACATGTATGTTACTTACCCTCAGACATCAGCGAACTCCTGTGCTGCTGGAAACCCGCAGGACACTGGCACTGACACGATAGATAGATAGATAGACAGACAGACAGACAGACGATAGATAGATAGATAGATAGACAGACAGACAGACAGACGATAGATAGATAGATAGATAGACAGACGATAGATAGAGAGATAGATAGATAGAAGATAGATAGCCTGGATGAATAGATAGATAGATAGATAGATAGATAGATAGATAGCCTGGATGAATAGATAGATAGATAGATAGATAGATAGATAATATACTGACAAGAAACAGCTACTACGGAAGTTGCGAAGCCCGCAAAGTGCTGCGTTAAGGTGTGCGTAAAAGTTGCACTTTGAAGCTCTCCATTTACAAGACTTTCACATTGCACTCATACTAACCTCCGTTTGTATTCGTCTCTCTCCCTCTTTACCTTGGCGAGCACATTGTACAGGGCCCGAATCTCTGGGGTGATGGTGTCGATCTGGACACCCACTCCGACTGGAGGCACCCTCGACGACACACCCGGACCCGGACCCGAGACCCGCAACTCACGCCCGGTGCTGAACCTCTGATTATACGACCACACAGTGCCAGGGTGAAATCTGGGTGGAGGGTTGCTGCTACAGCCGATACCAGTATTGACATACTTCGCGTTAATATTGCTGAATGTTTTTGGAGCAGGATCAATCGGGCTGATGGGGAAATTTGGGGTGAGATTGGAATTAGAGTCCTTCAGATTGGATGGGTTCAGGTTTTCTATTGTTGTACTGTTATTGGACTCGAGAGGGAGGGTGGTGTTATTGAGAGTCGGTGAAAGCAAGGCTCCGGACAGATATGCGGTGTCGTTCGCGTTCTGAAGGGGTATCAAGTCGGGCCCGACAGGAATCAATCCAACGAAGCCTGTTTGAACTCCAACATCTCGCGTTAAAGGCCTTTTATTTTCTACACACTCCGCGCTCTCATCCAAAGCCTGTTGCAGCTGCTTTTCCAATACTTTATTCCTGCGCTCCAGCTCGTGTACTTTGGCTAAAAAGCAGCGGAAGCGCAAATTCAGAGTTTTGAGGACGCTGATGTTGGACCCCAGGTCGTTTCGCAGGGCCGCGGCGGCAGGAGGAGGTGGAGACACCCGGTGGAGATAGTTACCCAGGTGCAGATATGGTGTTCCCGGAGGGGGTAAAGCTCCTAGGTCCAACCCATCTTGCCCGATGCCACTCGTGTGTTCGCTTAAGAAAAGGCCCGCTGGATCGGTCCAGTGGCCCGAAGACGCGGAGTCCGCGAAGCCCGTCACCTGGTTCTGCTGGAACGGATACACGTTCTCCCCCAATACAGGATTCATTCTGGAGTAGGAAAATCTGAAATGCTCAAAATCCGGCATGAACACTGATTTAACCGTGTGCTTTCGAAGCCGATCCTCTGAAGTTAATAAACTGAAGGAACACTTGTCCGATTAAGTGGGACAAAATGAATGAATCCGATCAGAACTCAAGCCTTTGATTATGACTATGACAGTCTATAATGTTACACAAGGACGCGTTACGCGTATTTGCATGCCATTTGTTATAACAGTACCTTACCAGACGTTGTTTATTATCTTAGAGGAGATTAAACGCGTCTTCGTAGCGGAACGGCCAAGCTCCAGCTCCAGAGCAGAAATAAACATGAAATGAGAACTGCGGCTCCTTCATACCGTGATCGGTTAGTAGAAGCGCCTCACTCTTGCGCAGCGCGACACTTTGTTTATTTTAGCACAATTCAACGTGTTTAGTTTAATCGATGCTACGAAATAACACATTTAACGCCAGGGATTGTGTTAGATTATATTTTATTGTGCAATATTTAAGTTCAGCATTTTGAATGTGCGTTTGTGTTTCTGGGATTTACGGTAGTCAAGGTGTACCTTTACGTCACTGGATGTAATTTGGCGACAGCACCGTGATACAAATCGCGACTGAGCGTGAACAATCTGAACTGTAACAATATTATTTTTTCGACGTTTTATTGGTGTTGTACATCATCAAGATCAGATACCATGATCTAAATAAGAATATTAAAGGAGTTGCAGGTTTTTACAGCTAGACAGAGCAGTGTTCAATTTCCTTTTTAAAAATCTTTTTTTTGGCGGAAAATTTCCATGTATGAGAATAACATTTAGATAAAATAGCAAAACATTTACACACACACACACATATATATATAGTACGATTTAAACAGCCTAAAATTTTATATATATATATATATATAATTTTATTTTTTCATGCATACAGGTTTTTTCATCTGCAGACACCTTTGGCCCTGTGGACCTGTAGAAAAGATTAATACATTTAGTAACTATTTTAAAACTATTAAAAAAAAATAGTTTCACCAAAATGCTATTTGCATCTGGCAGTATTCTGTTGGTCAGATTAAAGGTGTATGGATTGGAATAAGATTTTGTCAGTTATTTTATGTACCACAAAAAACGGACACAATTACATAATATTTCACATATTTTTCTATTTGCATAATATTCACAATTTTTTTTTACAATTTGTGATTTGAAATGACACACAATAAAAATACTCTGCTCACAAATTCCATTACCTTGATTTTTCAAGGTCATATGTCTCATATTTTATCTTAATTGTGCTTTCTTGACACTTTTGTCTTCTTAGTAACAAAGTACACTAATGTATGAGAGGAAAAGTACTTTTATAATGGATTTTCATAGTTTAAAACTGAAACTCTGGGTTTGTGACAAAGGTCAAGCTATGAAATCTAATTTTAATCAATGTTTAAAAAAGTTATAATTTTACAACAGAATATATCCAAAGCCCAATTATTAGTATCTATAAAGTAAAGCTTTATCCATAGAGCACAGTAAACACTGTTTACAAAGTGCTTTACAGCTGAATGGTAGAACAAGCAGGACTCAGACAAAAGCAAACAGAGGACTTCATTGTGTGACACTGCAAGCTCCCCTTCATTATCATATGCATCTTTAACATGACATCACAGTGCTTTTTTACCATTGAAAAACTATTATTCACAAAAAAGAAATCACATTAATAATTTGTCCAACTAAGTCAAAGGGCCTTTAAATATGAAAGCACATGCTTTCCTTACCATCTTAACCTCCTCACACTCATCTAATTAGTGTAGAAAGGGGTCAGTCGGTAAATAAAAGAGCATTACGACAAACAAGTTGCCAAAAGCCATATTTTTGCTGTTAGGACAAAACAAAAGAATGAAGTTATTGTCTTCTGTGTGCTCTATGATAGAAGAAAAGTAGATAGAGAGACTGTCCACAGTGACTCATCACAGCTAGTTCTACACATAATGAGATGCTGTGGAAAGTGAGCTGAGATTGTAAGAGGGGAGATGAAGGGATGATTACAGGCTTTTGCAGGTCCACTGGCAGCTCCATGACAGACACATCAGGCACTGAGATGTGAAATGCCAAGAAAACCAAGTGTCAGATTATATTTAAGCAAACAACCAGAAGTTGAACATGTATAATCACTATAATGGAAAGTGAACAGCACTTGCTGAATGTGATCACAAGACAGTAATGTCTGTTGCTTGACTAAGTTTTGAAATATAGCCATATACGTGAAACATAAATGAATTTCAGTCACTTCAACATGATTCACTGCATGTGATATATCTATTTACACTACCGGCAATATAGAGTATATGACAATATTGTGAAATATTATTACAATTTAAAATATGTTTTCTATTTTAAGATATTTAAAATGTAATTTATTCCTGTGATGACAAAGCTGAATTTCAGTCATTACCCCATGTCACATGATCCAGAAATCATTCTGATTTGCTGCTCAATTATTATTATTAATGATTATAATTAGTGTTCAATTATTAATAATGGTTCTTATTATTATCAGTGCTGAAAACAAATTTTGCTGCTTAATATTTTGTGCAAACCATGATATATATATTTTCATGATTCTTTGATTAACAGAATTTTAATGAACAGCATTTATTTGAAACAGAAATCTTATGTCTAAATGCCTTTAATGCTACTTTTGATCAATTTAATGCATCCTTGCTGAATAAAACTCATACATCACACATATGAATGGCAAAAAATACTAAGCAGCACAACTGTTTTTATCATTGAAAATAATAAATGTTTCTTGAGCACCAAATCAGCATATTAGATTCAGCTTCGCCATCACAGGGAATCAATTACGCTGTATAATTTATTAAAACAGAAAACATAAATTTTTATTTGTAATAATATGTCACAATTTTACAGTTTTACGGTATTCTTGATCAAATAAATGCAGCCTTGGTGAGCAATTGAGATTTCTATCAAAACATTAAAAAGTCTGAAATATTCCAAATTATTCATTTTGACCAGTAGTCTGTCTGCCTATATAAATGAGTGAAGTGCACAGTCATAAACATTCTTCCATTAAATTGTACTGCTTCCATTTACACAGTATTTGTTATAAGTGCCCATACACTCACTGAGGTCTGAGATGACTTTGCCCAAAGCCTTGGCAGTCCCCATGGAGGCTAGAATGATGTTCTGCTTGGCATCTTGCTCATCTGCACAGCTCAATAAATGAGAAATGCACAGTCCAGCACACCTAGATCAATGTGTCTAATCCATGCAGCAAGCAAACGTTTTTAAAGACTATATAAGTGCATAACTAACTGTGTACAGATAGAAATAATTTAATTCTAATTTAAGAGATGCGGTTGTCAGTACACCCAAACTTCAAAGTTTGCAGTTAATAATAACGCAATTCCCTTGAGTGTCACTAGACGGCAGTAAGAACTAATGATGCTGTTAGGCAGCCACACCCCCTATGTGTACAGTATGTTAGTGAAGGTGCATTCTAGCTGTTCATGTTGCCTTTTTTTTTCCAAATGTAGGAATATATTTATATATAATATATAATTTCCAACAGTATGTGCTATTGAAAAGATTTACAATAAAGTCCATGGAGGCACTTTAGCAGCATCAGGACCATAAAGAGCGTAGGGCAGCATCGCTGCAGCACTGCACAAAGTGGATCTCTTATAAGTGATAGAGTGCTTCCAGCGGTTTGTATGAGAACTGCAATGCAGTATCACACTGTAGCGGACTTAACATTACTGTGCAATGCCTTTATAGATATTTCAGAGCCTATGCCATTTTATACACTACAGTTTAAATGATTTTTTTTTTTTGGCAAAGAAAGTGCTACTTTTATTCCACAAGGGTGTATTAAATTGATCAAAAATATTTATAATGTTGCAAAAGATTTCTATTTGAAATAGTTTTTTGACTAATGAATCATTCTTTAAGAACTTAAAGAAAAAGTTTTCCACAAAAAGTCCACAGGAATGTCATTTTAAAATAGAAAACAGTTATTTTAAATCATAACATTTCACATAATGATTTTAATGTATTTTTGATCAAACATGCAGACTTGGTAAGCAGAAGAAACTTCAAAGAGATACAAATAAATCATAATGACCCCAAACTTTTGAACGATAGTGTAAAATGAAAAAAAAAAAGTATATATATTTTATATATTATATACTAATATATTACATACAAATATATAAATAGTTAATTATAACGTTTTTCTCCCCACTTTTTCAGCTTATCAAATGACTTCCATTTACTATATTATTTATGAACACTTCAGTATTATTATTTTTAATTCTCAGATGACTTGAAATACTTTATGTTCATGACACTTTTCAGACAACAGCATTCAAAAATGCCAGAATGAATGAAATAATGACCAACAGACAAAAGGACGCTTTCAGAATCAGGCATTGTTTGTTCAGCGTGGAAGACACCAGACCCAATATCTGACATTAGTACAGTACTCTACAATATCTGGAACAGCCAAATCACAAAGCAACATGACAAAGGCAAAAATAAAACACGTGACACAAACCCTTCATCGTACACCAGACAATAGAATCATTCAGAACCGGCAACAAGCACTGTGTAGCACCAGGTTTTGCATTGTCTGACATACCTGTAATTCTTTCATTAAAACAACCGAACCTTAAATACAAGCTGATATCAACACATTTGATTTCCGACATCTCGCAAAAAGTATCATACTGCTTTAACGACGTCAACACAATGACTGAGAACCATTGTAAGCGATGCTGTGTAATTCACGCATTTAGCCAAACCATACACATCATTACCTTTAATATATTCATAAGCACCGAAATCCAGTCGCAAAGAACCCTGTTGCTGAACGCACAGCAATCCTAGAGTTAATTCATAGGTTACAAAAGAAAACACCAAATGCATTTAATGACCAGGGTGTCAACTGAATAATGTTACATGCTGAGTTAATGCTTTTCAACAGCCTGGAATATGACCGATTTAATACGATCCAACTAGTGTGTGACCATAAGCACCAAAATGATGTCTGCATTGAATTCTACAGTTGTGGAATGGACCTGAAGTGAAGAGGTGGTCTTCAAGTGCAGGATTTGTGAATGCAAGACAAAGAGAGAGAGAGCGGAAAAGGCTGAGTAGGTGTAAAAATCAAGTTAAATAATCCCATTGAGCAGCTATTTTCTTGTAATTGCTGGTTTGTCAAATAAACATCTCAGATTTGGCGAGGTAAGTTGATAACTGTTGCCCTTTTATGAAAA